TGATTCTGTGAGTGGTGGTGGTCTGTACTTGGCTGAAAATGGCATTGTGCTCTTGAAATTGACTGGGAGGAGGAAGTGGCTTTCAAATGCTCCAGGATTAAGTAAATTAGTCAGTGATTTTAAATTGTGAGCTGCTGTTGTTCGGGAAAGTTTCTTTCAGTTGCGTCCAAACTAAATAATGGAGCATGTTCCTTTGATACATAAAAGCTAAACAAGGTTTGCAAGAAAATTATGGGGTTTGCTTTTTTCTGTTTTTCACTAGAGATCCTGAAATCTGGCATCAAGTCTGTTTGAAAATATGGGGCAGGAGCTGCAATAAACTTGTTCCATATGCCTCTTGGAGGGAAATGTTTTTGGAAAGGCCTCGCGTTCGATTTGATGGTAAGGTGTACTTTTGTAAATTATTTGGGGTTTTTTACTGCATGCAACTGTGACAGAAACAATCAGGTAGGTTTGATGTTTATGACGTTGATAGATATAATCTGAATTTGTTTTGGCTTTTGAATCTGTAGAGTATCTTTAAAGAGCAGGGAAGCATGCAAGGGATGAAAATAAAAACTTTCATACATTTAAGTAACAAAAGTAAACTCAAAAGTTTTAGATTATTGGCTTTTTTATCTTAAATATTTTATGTATTTAATTTTTGTTCGTATACTTTTATCATCCTTTCCTGCAGGTGTATATATCAGCAAGACAAAATACATACGTCAAGGAGAACAATCTCTTGATGGTTTCTATAGAGCGTGGCACCAAGTGGAATATTACAGGTAGAACTGTAGTACAATGAGTGAGTGAAATGTTTCTCTCTCTTAAGTTCTTTAAATCCAGCCCTTGATATCACAGACATTAATCATTTTGTAAAACTCAATGGAACTACTCCAGTGTGTAAAACTATATATTTTTTGAGAATAGATCTTAAGAACTAGGATTTATTATGATAATTAGAGATGGGCTTAGAAACACATTTCATCCTCAGTTATACCATTTCATGTGGATAAAACTTAAACAGTAACAACAGTAATACTCATCCACAGATTTATTTCCCCAGATCACTTCTGCTTTACATTTCTGATATAATAATTGTTTTCAGCAAAGGGAAAACAAGTGATTATACAAGAATTGTCTTTTAACTTACTTGTAATTGATTGTAAATAATCAAGAGGCTTGGCTTTCTCAACTTGCCATAAATACCTTGCCAGTTGTTTCCTCAGCCTGTTTTTCTGCTGTTCTTCATCTTACTGTTTCCCAGCATTTATTGTTCCCATCTGCTGTCCCTTCTGAGGCTGGAAACTGTTAACAGAAATCATTGAATCTCATGGCTAATTTCTGTAGTCTCACAAGCATCAGCACAGTAAAAATTGATGAGATCCCAGAACCCGAAAAAGTCAACATGACATTGTCCATTCTGTACTGATTTTGTTGCATTTGTCTCAGTTGATGCTAGGAATGGAGAAGCTTACTTGAGGTCAGTTTTGATTCCAGGGTAGCCTTCTTGCTTTGGTTAGAGGTGACAAAACTCTTGAACTTCTGCCCTCTTTCATAACTGTTCATAATGTCATCTTTTAATCCTCAAAACTCTCATTTGATTTCTGATCTCTTTTTTTTCTGTTATATCATGTGTGAAGAAATCTTATTACCTATTAAGTTCTGTATCCTTCTGGGAAACATCCTGTGATTTTTTTTTAAAAAAAAATCACAACAGAAAAAGGATATGTTTTCTAGGTTTGTATTGTGTCATTGTATTTTTGCAGGTATTTGAGATTCTTTCCAGATGGTCAAGTTATGATGTTAACAACTCCTGAAGATCCTCAATCTATAGTTCCTCGCTTACGGACTAAAAATACAAGGTTATTGAAATAAAATATTTGGCTCTACAGTTTTCATTTTACTTTTACCTGGAAATTTCTATTTACTTTTGTCTCAGATTCTATATCCTGACTTACCAAAACAAGAATAAAAATACAATATTATTTATATTGTGTTACAGATGTTTGTAGTTCTCTTCTGAGAACTACAAAACATTTTGGTCTTTATCCAAAGATATCTTTTATTTTAAGGTCCTGATATTGTAATTAGATTTCCTTTGTGGGTTATGTGATTTTAAACTTTTAAAGGAAGTAGATGGAAGAATACATGCAGTTAGCTCGGTGGTTTTAGAATCCTTTAAAAGATACTATTTTGTTATTGACTGCCTTCTCACACTTCCCTGTCTGTTTGAAGGAAAGTGAAGATTTTTGTGGGATATGACTAAATTATTGCTTGATTTCTTTTTGATGTTTGCACAAACTTGTTAAAAATGTAGAAGGTCATTTGTGACTTCAGAACAGGTTTGAGCGGTTTGAAGTCTGAAAATATTTAGCAGTAGGCTAGGTAGAACTGAATAACTTATCTTTACTGTTCTATCTGGAAAAATTAAAAGCAACCTTCCAAGATGTTTTCATCATTTTGTATCATCAGTGAGCCTGGTATTTTACTAAATGGAAATAAAAAATAGTTTCCTTGATTATGATATGCAGCCAGTCTTCTTTTCATTGCTGATACTTGTGTTATAAGTACATCACTCTTTTGAGACAGAGAATATTTTTATGTCCTTGACACTATCCTCCTCTTAACCTCCCAGAACGGATGCAATCTTGCTTGGCCATTATCGCCTTTCCCAGGAAACAGACAATCAAACCAAAGTATTTGCTGTAATAATGAAGAAAAAGGAAGAGGTAGGTAGCAAAATAGAATAGAGGAAAAATAGTTTAAGAGGAGGGGGCTTTTTAGTAAGTTTTTTTCTCAGACTGAATATTTTAAGGCACCTGAAGATTTGCATGACACCAGAGGACTAAAAAATGAATTTCACTTTTTAAATGGTTTAAAAATAAAATATAAATAAGCCTGGTGATCTACCTTGCCTTTCCCAAATCTGTAATAATCTTTTTATTAAGACAGATAAATGTCTAGTTCACATTTGAGCAACAGTTCTTCCTCTTAGGCTTAACTGCCATGTGTGGTGCTATGAGGTAGTGTGTTAACATTGTTAACAAACAGAAGGGAAGGATGAAGACACCGTTTTCTGAAGACAGTTTTGACTGCGTGCAGTTATGTTCCACAGCTTTAAATAAAACTAAATAAGCAATATTCATTACTTGAGCTCTGAATGATTTGATCAACTTATTTACACCACAAAATTTGCTGATTACAAAGTGTCTGTCAAGAGAAACTTGTGAAGAGTTAGAAGTGTTACGTTACAGTGAGTTTGCATAGTTTGGGTGGTGTCCTCTAAGCTTATCTTACTTTCTGTGAAAACTTCTTCCGTAATTACCATCTAAATTGCTGTATTTTCAAGGAATACCAGGACTTGCTTTTAAGTATGAGACTTTAACAATCAGTCCTCAGAGTTACTTAGGCCTCAGGATAAATAGTTGCACAATGTGTTCTTTGTAGGTCATAAAACTTCTTTTCTCTTTGTACAGAAACCAATTGACTACCACAAATATAGGTATTTCCGCCGTGTTCCTGCACAAGAAACCGATCACAGTTTTCATGTAGGACTACAGTTGTGCTCCAGCGGGCGCCAGAGATTCAACAAACTTGTCTGGATACATCATTCTTGTCACATAACTCACAAGTAAGTACATGGAGAATAGGGTCAAAGAAAGATAGTTAACTGTAGAAACACAGGTGACGTTAATTTGTCCAGTACTAAGTACAGAAGATGTGAAGACTCTGAGACTTAACGAGGCTTTTACAAGATGTCGTGAGAACTAACTGATCCTGATTTGATATATCGTAATGAAGTTTTACTTCAAGAAATCCCAGGATTCTAGTAACATTTTATAACAGTATGGGAAGTTTCCTAAGTAGTAGAACTGTAGAATTTTAGCCATTTAAAGGATTTATGCACAGTGTTTGAATGATTTCAGAACTGAATCAGGGTTGAATGACTTAGTGTGGTGCTAGTGAAGGGGTGTGGAAAACATATATTCATTAAGGCCTATTTCTTTTCCTCTGTGGAAGTGCAAGCTAGAAATGTCTGCTCCCATCATGTGAGAACTGTAATGCTTACAACTATCTAATCCAGCAGTGCAGAATATGGGCATGTGACCCGCTGTTCTGGTCACTAACCAAGGCAGAGCCATGGCCACTGTTCTTGCACCTTACACTCTAAATTACTGGCAAATTGGCTGTCCAGATGTTGGCGTTTAGGGTGGATTTAGGCCTTGTCTTCAGTCTTCTTGATCTCTATATTCATTGTTTTTATAGGGACATAGCTCAGCTATTGAACTGTAAGTGTATAAAATCTAGGAAGTAAACTGCTGGTGGTTGGCAGTGTAGGTAACTTCCATAAACAGAAAAATGACTTTTATAAAAAGTAGTATTTTCATACCTAGTTTATGAAGAAGTGGCAATAGCACAGACATTCTTTTCAGCCTGAAGTTCTGTACTGCTCAGGTTCTGCTGTACCTCTCAGTATGGTGGTGTCCTTGTAACTAGAATAAAGATGAGTATAAAACACAGGTAGGAGGATCTATGCTTTTTGTCACTGATGTTCAGAAATACCTGAGTTTCTTCTTTCTAAAGTTTTGTAAACGTAAGTTTTTGCTATCACACTGTATTCTGAATTCAGGGTTCTAAGTGAAACAAATGAGAGGGGATTTTTTTACTTCAAGATTAATATGGTGACTTGAGTGACGTCCTGCGCTGTTTCAAGTCCTGGAGCTAATAATAAGAATGGAAGGCGAAAGTGGTTTCTTTGATACTAAAATGGAAGTGTATTCTGTATAATGTGATTCGGCCAACATTCACATGCTTTCAGAAGAAGGCAGTACGAAAGATAGTTACATTCCAGCTGTGGTTTGATGCACACACTGTGCTGTGGAACATGATTGCAGTATTGAAGGACTTAAACAGCAACTTGTGTCTAATTTAACTTTTACAATACTCTTTGCAGATCAACTGGTGAGACGGCTGTTACTACTTTCGACATTGACAAAATGTACACCCCTTTGTTCTTTGCACGAGTGAAGAGTTTCACTGCTTTTTCAGAAAAGCCGCTCTAAGAAACACCTTTTCCTCTCACAACTCTTGCATGAATAAAAGGTTGTAGCTAATGAGCACTTAAGTTATAAATGTGTATATATTCGGAACGTTTTAAAATTCTGGGAAATTTTTTGAAGGCAGTATGTTCTATCTGATTATGAATGGCTGGGGTTTTGTTTTTAGATCAGGCTTATGAGTATTAAACACCTTTACTTTGTGACAAGAATTTGATACAAAGTTTTGTTGCTTGTTTTGTTGTTGGTTTTGTTACGTTTTTAAACAAATTTTATAAAGCAGTCTGCTTAAAATGTGAGTCTTCATCTGCCTGGACACTGGTTTGTCCAAAAGGAGTTGTTACAGGAGTATCTCACTGTCCCTGGGACAGTGTGTGTGGTCTCTGGTGAAGGCTTGAAATGTGAAGGGGAGAAAGTTGTCTTATATCTGTTAAACTGTGTGACTTAAACGAATTTGAAATAAATGTTTTCTTTAAATTAAACTTATCTTGTTTGCCTTTAAGATCTGGCATTTTGTCAACATCAACCTTAAGAAAAAACACTCAAGGGCAAGCAAGTGTGAAGTATAAAATTTAACTGCAGAGGTAAATCCCCACCAATGCAGTGATGTCATTTGATCTCGATAGAAGTTCCATGGAGCCTGCCTTCTCGACAGGATGGGCACGAAGGGGAGAGGGATTTGGGCCGTGAGTTGTTCTCCTGTGCTGTAGGAGAAGTTTGCAGGGTACGTGACCCTGCGTGGGAACCATCGCAGTGCAATGGGGAAATGCTGGTGTGTCCTGTTTGTGTGTTGGCCAGGTCTGAATGCAGAGGTATGCAGGGCTCACTTGGACGTGACTGTCGTGTTATAACCCTTCATCTAACCTTGCTACAGATGCTGTAAACCATTTGAGCGTTTGTTGTACTAAGATAAATTTTGAGGCTGCTGTAGATGTTCAGGTGCTGTGTACTGCTAATCGGTCCTGGTGCAGGTTCTGTATGCTGCTTCTCCTGCATATATCGCTTGGGGGTGTAGTGCAGACACTGTAATGCCGCTTATTATATATGTATCTTGGATTCTGAAAGAACTGAAGCTTTTTAGTGTAGTTTTTTAAAGCCGTTTTGCATAATTTATCTTTGAACATCTTGTTTCAAAATACTGACCTGGACTTGAGGACTAAAATGTGAAAGCTGTGGAAAGAACTATACTTGTTCCGCAATTTATAAAGTGTATCTTTGCAAGGAGCTACATGATTAAAAATACATCAATAAATCATGATTTTGAACATGCAATCCCTTGCAATTTCTTATTTTGCCAAGAAATCATTATTTTCATGAAGTTAAAGGTGATTAGTTAGGAGTTACCGTGCGTAAGCTACATGCTAGGCAAGATTGACGGGTAGAATTAACCTCTTAATGACTTTTTATTACACTACTTACAGGTTATCTGAGAGGAGTAGAGAAGCGTTCAGGTACATGAGTTCTGAATAAGGATGTGTACACCTGAAACTTCATGCTTTTTCTAGCTAGCCTAATAAGACTCTGCCTACAACACTTTTTTGGCCTATGTCCTTAGACTTCAGTTGCACTATTACTTCATACAACAGAACGTTTAATAAGGAGCTTTGAGTGTTCTCATTGCTGAAGGGAAAAATGATTGCTTAAAATATCAGCTTCATGTTGTGAAATATTGCCAAGTTTGTAAACAGGCAAAGATGTTAGTTACCTACGCTTTTTCTGAGGGTGAAAGATAAAGATGTGATTCAGCCTGCTGAGAAATGTCAGAAGTTTTTGTCACAAGAATGAGGAGATTATTTGTTTAGGTGTAGTTTTGTCCAGTAACCAAGTTGGATGTAATAGAAGAGCCTTCCAATTCAAAACTGTTTTCATACCCAGACTTACCTGCTGCTTCTGAGCTTTTGTTTTTTTTCTTGCCTTGGCCGTGTGTTTGAAATACACTCTGGGCGTAAAGGAAAAGCTAGCTAATGTCCTGTTACTAATTGAGATGTTGATTCACCAGAAGTCTCAGGCAATGCTTATTTTAAGATTATATGAAATATTCCTTCACCAAGAAAATTACGTGAGCCTTCTGTCTTTGGGACTGAGCTGTGATTAATATGCTTGTTCCTCTGCTTTTAGCGATATAAGAAAGTTGAGATAGTTTTGTCTTTTGAAATGGTTTATCAGCAGATACTGTCTGTTCACATGCAGCTATTAAAATAAACTCGTTTCAGCAAAGAAATGGGTGAGTCTTTGCTCTTCCTCCGTTACATCTAGTGAGTTTCAGTAGTCCAAAGCTTTAATTGCTAGAGACTCTATGTTCTTACAATTTACTTTTATTGACCTTTTACTTACCCTATCAAGACATTAGTTGGTATAACTACTTTACTGCTGGGAAGTTGTCCTTTACTAATTATATTAGTAACTTGAATAAAAGAATAAGGTATACAACTATGCAGTCCTTTTTCCCAAGAGTTTATTGTATGAGTTCACTATTGTACAAGTTCACTTATTAAAATGGAAGGAGGCCTACAAGAGGTGACAGAAATGTGGTTCTTGGACCTGTAGATTTCTTTTATGCATGGGATTAAAGACAGCAGAGTGGACAGTTTTGTGGAGAGAAGATGCTCAGATGATCAAATGTTGTGCTGATTTGACTCAGTCTAATTAGAGATTAGCACCAGTTAAACCTTTGTGTGTACTGCTGGGCTGTAGATGGGAGGAGGAAGTAGAGACGGTGTGATTCAGCGCTCTGAGCGAGGGACCGGCAGCAGACACTTTCCAACTGCGAAGTTCAGCTCCTGATTCACTTGGTAACTGTGAGCCATGCTGGTCAGAATTTCAAAAGCACGTGTTTACACAAGGGTTTTGCTTTAAAGAAAGAAAACACTAGAGTCTGGTTTGATTTTTTTTTTATATATTTTTTTTTTATTTTTTAAAAATCCAAGAAAATTCCCCATGAATGTGTGCCAGTGTATTTGGAAACTTTTGTCGATGTTAAAGTGGCTGAACTATTGAGGTGCTTTTCCGTTTTGTCTTTTCTGCTGTCCAAGATGAGAAAAATATAAAAGCTTATATACATTTGCAAACCAGTTTGGATTTCAGAAATTAATGTTATATATGTTATTTAGTATTAATAGCACCTGTAAAGAAATAAAATACTTCCATTTGATAGTCACTCAGTCTGGATTCGAGCTTTGTCCTTTATGCTGAGACTAGCAGCTTTCTTAGTAAAATGACTTGCATAATTGTTTGCTTAAAAGGAGCAATTACTGCTTTGCCTTACCTCTCTCTTGTCCAGAGTATAGTTCCTGAGTCCTTAAAATAATTCTTAAAACCCCAAGTCCTAGATAATACTGGCTGAAAGAAAGGATTTGGAGGAGAAACTAGAGTCTGTTACTGAATGGAACTTTTGGGGATGTATGAAAGTGGTATTCTCTCTTAGCTAAAACTACTTTCAGCTCTGGTAGTGTAGCGTGTTTGAAAGGGTTCAGATGCACCACACTGACATGTACCTATCATTCAAGGCAGTAAGAGACAGGTGTCAAAATTACAGTATAATGTGATTTTATGAACACATATTCAGAGTATGAATAGAAAAAAGAATCGTGAAACATGACTGCTTCTGAAGACGATATTCCTGTGTCTTTTAGGACTGACAGCCTTCCTACCTTGGCAACTGCAGGTATTCTGACATTTTTTGAAGATGCCTCTAGCACATTTATTAATTTCGCCTCAGAATGCTCTATGACAAATAGCTGGATATAATGCAGAGCTAAGGAAAGTAACACTAGTAAATCCTGCCAAATTAAATTAAACTTTAATGTGGAAAGCCAAGATGAGTAGACATTTTTTCCACACATTCTATTTCTGAATGAATGAAGTTTCCCTTGAGAAGATATGTACAAGCGCTGTGACCCCTGCATGTTTCCATGCTAAATTTACTCCTGAAGTAGATTTCTTTTCATTAATTCTACTTCCATAATGGTAAGAGATTGTTAAAGTTGCTAAAACAGAAGTTCTGCCTGGTTTAGTTCACGAAGTTGTTTTTTTTGGAAAAGGAATTCACTTGATTGATTTTTTTTTTTTAATTATTTTTTATTTTTGTTTCCCCAAAGTATTGGTACCCCTGCAAGTTGTTGCAGCTTAGTAATAAACAAGAGCTTTGGGATGTGGCTTCCTTGATGTGTGTTTAGTGGTCGCAGTGCACGATGTTGCTGTTCTGCCATTAGGTGGCATGCCACAGTTTGAAGTTTTCTTTTGTGCTTGATAAACTAAGTATATTTATTTCCCTACAGCTTATTTAAAATTTGAGAACATTCCAGGAAAAATAAGAGGAAATGCAACAAGCAAGAGTTTCGCATTCTGTTTAGCCTGCCAAGCGTTCAGCTCCGTAGGTCTCTGCACTAGTAAGACGTCCACGATAACACAGCTGAATGGGAATAAACAGAAAGGCCAGTTCTTCAAAGGGATTTTAAGTATCTGAATCTCAGAGTGGAGCCTTCGGTCCTGAGTTTGCTCCCCAGACTCCCGGACAGGCTCCAAATGGGATCTGAAGCAGCCAACATGCAAAGCGGAAACATCCTTATATGACGAAGGATGATGCGCTGAAAAGAAGTGTTTGTTAACCGCTGCTGCTTGGAAAGTGTACGTTCCCAAAGCAGTGGTCATCATTTCAGTCCCTGCCCTGCTTTGAACGTTTCTGTTCAGAGTCCAGGTTTGCTCAGGCGAGGGTGTTGGCCCTAGCCAGGGCCAGGCAGACGTGCTTTTCGGGGGTTTTTTGGTCATCCTGTCCTGCAGTATGTATAATGAATCTGTTTGTTGTAGAACAGCTTTAATAATAATCCCCAGAAACCCAATAAAAAGTAAACACGGATGTGAAAGGAGTACCTCAGCTAGATTAGAGAGATGCGCCCATGAGGGGAAAGTGTGTTTACCTTCTATGCGGACCTCCCCCAAGCCTTGATGTTGCATCACCTGCTATCTTTGGGAAGCAAAAAGGAGCAATCCTTTCTCTTATCTTTAAGAAGATGCTGCAGGGGTGTCTCACTGCATGAGGAGTTCAGGAAGCTCCTTCCTATGCTGCTGAGAAATTCAGTTTAGGTCTAGTACTTCACACTTCAGTGTTTATTAACCTGGGTTGGCCAATTAAGATGTGTTTATAGGGACGTTAATTTTTATCAGCTCTCAGTTGCACATTTGAAAAAAAAAAAAGGTATAAAATATTGGTCCTTTTTCTCCTCTTTTTGCTAAAGCCCAGTGTCCCTGGGGGAGCAGACACCTGAGGGCTGGTGAGGGATGGGATTCAGTGGCTAAGTTAGATGAAAAGGCACAAATCTCATGTTATAAAGGAAATTTGGTACACATACATGAAAGTAATAATTGGTTACCATCAGTTAAGAGTATATGCATCAGGGGGGTTTGTTTGGTTTTTTTTCCTAGCTGATCTGTCCCGATGGCCATAGCATCTTTTCCCAGAGCAGCCGTGCAGGAGATCAAAACGTAGACAGAGCGTAAG